GTAATAAATTTCAAGAAAAAGAATCCCATCACCTCTTCAGTCCAGCTTAGCAACTTTCTTCTTTTTTTTTAAGCTTTAAAATATTTTATTGGAGTTACATAGAAAATTTAAAAACTGGTGTATCTTTGGTGTTTTACACGGAATACTTATGATGAATGCTTTTGTGGAGGCACTTGGGGATCATTCTAGCACCTTTAGTATAAATGAAGTCTGAGGACTTTTGATGGGAAGTATAAATAGGCTGGAACAACCCTGTGATCTGTTTGTGACATAGATCTCAGGGGCTGTAGCAACTTTCTTCTTAATCCTTGCCTGGGTAGAACCACTCCTAAATTTGGCATAGAATGTGGGGTATGTTGATAACATTGAAGAGAGATGCTGTGATGGTTAGCCAAGGAAGATATCTCCTTTCAATGAACGTAAATGCTGGGCTGGAGAGATGGCATTGATTAAGAGCACTGGCTGCTCTTCCAGAGGACGAGGGTTCAATTCCTAGTGCTATGAGTTCAGGAATAGCTGTATATTGACCACTCGAACACCAGACTCAGATTGATGGAAGTTTATTAAACACTGAACAAAGAACGACCATTCAGGGCTATAATCTGTTCCTAAGGCAGATTTTTTTATACAAAAAAACCGTAACCAGATAACCAGGTATAGGAAATGAGGGGGCATTACACCATTTTGACTAAATGATGTTAACATTATCTTGTTCCAAGTGTATTGTGTTATATCTAGGTAGCTAGACAAAGCACTTTAAGCTGATTGGCTGGGATTTAGGATAGGGAAGCACTTGGGGGCTTTCCAGGTTTCTGGGAGTGAGGAACATAGCAGGATGTTGAGTACTTTTTTTTTTTTTCTTAAAGATTTATTTATTTATTATTTATACAGTACTCTGCCTGCACACCAGAACTCAGTACAGATGGTTATGAGCCACCATGTGGTTTCTGGGAACTGAACTCAGGACCTTTGGATGAACAGCCAGTGTTCTTAGCCTCTGAGCCATCTCTCCAGCCCCTACCCTTTTTAAGACTTATTTAGGATGTTGAGGTTTTAACTCAAGCAAAACATGCATTTATCATCTATTGTTTTACTGTAAGCAGCAAGCACTACTGAACTATTAAATTCTATCCTGGTTTCTGGCATGTAGAACCTAAGAACTTGAACTTAATTTCACCTTGTGATCAAAATGGAGACTTGGAGGTAAAATGGCTCCTGACATGCTAAAGGCTACAGCAGGTGTTAACAGAGGAGCCACAGGTGTGCTAAGAGCTAAAGTAGGTCTCCACAGAGGGGCTATACAGTCCAAGCAGGCTACAACACTCACACCCACACAGTAGCTCACAACTGTCTGTAACTCCAGTTCCAGGGGTTCTGACACAGACACACATGCAGGCAAAATACCATTGCATATAAAATAAAAATAAATAATTTTTTTTTTAAAAAAAGAATGTAAATTATGCCGGGAGCGGTGATGCAGAGGCAGCTGTATCTCATTAAGTTCGAGTTCGAGGCCAGTCTGGTCTACAAGGTGAAACTGTCTCAAAACAAATCAAAACAAACAAACAACAATGTCAATGAATAGGTAGGACTCTTGAGTACCTTCACCCATAGTAGATGTATGTATGTAAGTTCCCTTCCTATTGCTGTTAGTCTGTATGATCTCTTATTTCAGTCCTGTGAATAAGAATCCAAGAACTGGGAAACATCCAGCCTGGATCCCAAACACCAATAACAAACATCTTACTAAAGACACTAAAGATCACATATTTGTGCTTCTCCAGCCTCCTTTCAGCATGTTGCTGGCTCTCACCTAGGCTGAGCCAATCACACTCACCTCTCCTGTACTTTTACTCTGTGTCCAAGAAAAAGCACAGAGGCCAATGGAAGTTCGTTCCAGATGGTAGTACATTCCAGTTTCCACAGCTGTTATGAAATCAGTGATGTCAATAGTGATGTCTAGTAGATAAGGGTATCCTTACCAAAAAAAAACATTGTTCGTGGATCAGTGTTCTGAACATGACTCTCCAGCTTCCTCAGTGATTTCTTTCTTTCTTTTTGTTTTTTGGTCTTTCAAGACAGGGTTTCTCTGAGTAGCCTTGGCTGTCCCGGACTCACTTTGTAGACCAAACTGGCCTACTGGAATTACAGGCCTGTATCACGGCACCCAGCTTCCCTAGTAATTTCTGTGAACTATTCAATAGCTAACAGTACTCACTCATTTTCATGATGGCAACTGGAACCTTGGATAGATACAACATTCATAAACTTGCCTGCAATTTGCAATCTCTCTTTCTCTTTACCACCTATAATCATGTAATCACTCTATTTTCTTTCTTTCCTTTTCTTTTTTGGTTTTCGAGACAGGGTTCCTCTGTGAAGCCTTGGCTATCCTGGAACTCTCTCTGTAGACAAGGAATTCAGAGACCCACCTGCCTCTGACCACCGAGCACTCGGATTAAAGGTGTGCACCCTCACCACCCAGCTCACTCTATTTTCTTAATGTATTTATTTTGTATGTTTGTATACATGTGTGAGCGTGTCTGAACAGGTTTACATGTGGCTTGACATGTGTAGAGGTCACAGAACAGCCTGTCAAGGCTGCTTTTCTCTTCCATCCAAGGCAGGCCTGGAAATTAAGCTCAGGCTTGAAGGCATCCTGCTAAAGTATCTAAATTTCTGTCACATTATCAAAGAAAGAAGAAGAAAAGAAATGAGGTGGAGGAAAATCCAGGCTTGGGCTGGAAAGATGACTAGGTGGTTGAGAACAGTTTGCTCTTGCAGAACACCTGGGTTTGGCTGCCAGCATCCACATGGCAGCTCACTACTGTCTATCTATAAGACCAGTCTAAGGGGATCTGACTCCCTCTTCTGGCCTCTTTGGGCAATGCATGAATGCGCTGCACAGACATGCATGCAAGCAACACATATGCACAGCATAAAAACAAATAAGCGATTTTAAAAAGAAATGTAGGGCTTCTTATTGAGACCCAAAGGGAACCATCACAATCATCTGTTGAACTACTTTGTTGAGGAAGAGCCTCGCATCCTCCCATCATGTAGATGCTGCGTGTCCATGCCTCAACAAAGAATAAGAAAGTTCTTCCCCTTGAAGTGGTTTGAGGCAGATTAAGCCCAAACTTGACTTTCCCCTTTTTTCCCAGTACTTTCTATCTGTTGTCAAGGCTGTCTATTATCCGTGTGTTGTGTGTGTGATACCTGTCTGTCCCTAACAAAGGTCTTTGCTATATAGTGATGGAACAGACAACACAGCATGGGAAGGAAAAAGGGTCTTCTTCTTCCAGAAATACTTTCCGAAATAAACTTAAATAGACTGAACACGCAGCAAGGAAACAGGCTATTTACATAGTTCCAAACGTCTCAAGGCATATCATTAACTTGGTTGCAAGGTCTTTGGGGTTTTTTTGGGGGAAAAAAAAAATTCCCACAACACTGTACACTCCTGTGAAGTAGGAACCAATATACGCCTTGCAAACATAAAGTTAAAATGTAACTTGACTAAATGTCATCAGACTGCTAAAACTGGTGGACCAGGATCCAAACCCACATCTGTAGTGAGAATTTTTGGTTTCTTCAAAAACAAAGAAATGTTGTGGGAATGGTTTTTTTTTTAAATGTATTTATTTATTCACTATACAACCCAAGTGTAGCCCCTCCCTCCTCACCCTCTCCTGCCTATCCTGCCTCCCCTACTCCTCAGAAGGGAGAGCTCTCTTGGCCAACCCACTCCATCACATCAAGTCGTTTCAGGACTGAGCAACGTCTTTCACAGGGGCCTAGCAAGGCAGCCCCACCAGGGAGAAGTGAAAAGCAGGCAACACAGGACATGTCAGAGACAGCCCCATTAGGGGACCCACATGAAGACCATCTGCCTGTCAGGTACCTATGTGCAGGGTGTGTAGGGGAGTTTTGTTTTCATCCCAGGTGTGGGATCTGGAGCTTCAGAGTGTCCACAGCAGCTGACTATGACTGTCTCATGCTCCGGCAGGACCACGATTTTGCCAGCTGAGGATACTTTACGTTTGGAAGTTTGGGGACTCTTTAGAGGGTACATAAATGCTAGAACCGCGAGAGGTTTGAAGGTGTTGCTTTCTCTGCGGCTGCTGTTTCTGCTGCTACTGCTGGTTGCTGGATTTCTGGTTGGAGATATCCTGAGGACAAAGATCAAATCTCCCCCGGGGAACTTGACACTCCTAATCAGCAGGGAGGAGTCTAACGCTTTCGGAAGGGACAGGAGTGGGGTAGGGAGGTAGGAAAAAGAGCCCAATAAAGCAGTCAAAAGTCTGGACACACATATCTATCTGCATAACTAAAAATTTCCATTCTTCCCATTACTCTAAACTATTTAGGAATGACTAAGCAAAGCACCCGACCCGAACACTCTTTTTAAAAATTATATGTGTGTGTATGAAGGTGCTTACAGAGGCCAAGAAGGCCCTGGCTCCCTGGAGCCGGAATCTCCCGACACGGGAGCTGGAAACCAAATTCAGGTCCTCTGGAAGAACAGGAAACACTCTTAATCTCTGCGCCGCCGCTTCAACCCTTGATGTAAGCTTTCTAAATTACTTACACAAATTTCACAATACTTGGGTATTGGTATTATTATCCCCACCGTAAAAAAAAAATAAAAAATAAAACTAGGCTCAAACAAACTAGTTCATTTCGAGATCATGCAGCCTTGGGCTACAGGAATAAAGGTTTTGTTACGCGTCCTCAGCATTCCTCAGCGTGGAGGCATGTTTGGCATTCCAGATCTTTAAACATTAGGAGTGCTGAGCATGTGTCAGCTAGTATGCAGTAGGTTAAGTGAAAGCGAGCGCTCCACAGGACGGGGTATTAAAAATGAATTTGCACCAGGACAGGGCTGGGTCACTGCGCAAGCGAAATGACAGAAACGTGCCCAAACACAAACAACCAAGTCAAGTTCTTGGAGCAGCTCTAGGAGCCGAAGGGCAGCAAAGAGCTGTGCGCACGCGCAGAGGCTTGCAGGTGGCCCTGGCAAACAGCACTCGCTGACAGGTCTTCCAGCCTCTAGCGGGCCCTAGCGCCTCGGCCTTCCCCCGGACCTGGCAGCGCGTTCTTTCTCACTCACCAACACTGGGGATATTAAGACTTAGCGCAAACGTCTTTAGGTTTGCAGTTCTGGCCCGCTGGAGACAGAAGCGGCAGCGTAAGCTCCGGGGTCTGGAAACAGGCCTGCGCGGGGTACGGAGACTTCCTATCTAGCCCCGGAAGTACCGCGAGGATGGGCGGGCTCCAGCTCGAGGCGGAAGCGAGGGGCGGCCCGGGCTAGGAGGCGGGGCTTGGCTGGGGACTCGGCCCCGCGCTGTGTCACTCTCTGCCTCCGCCTAGGTGACATGTCTGTGGAGAGGTTCCTCGCCGAGCTGTGTGGCACCGACGCGGCACGGCCGCTCCCGCTGTGGGAAGGGGACACCACGGGCCACTGCTTCACCCAGCTGGTGCTCAGCGTCCTTCCCCACGCGCTCCTCGCCGTCCTCAGCGCCTGCCACTTGGGCACCGCAAGGTGGGTAGAGACTGCAGCAAGACTCGCGGTCTCTGTAAGGGGGCAGAAGCAGAATAAAAGCTGCTGTTTTGGGAGGATTAAATGAAACAAGGCGTTTAAACAGCACAGCACCGGGCATATCCTTTAAGTCTCCAAGGCATCTCTCTTGCAGACTTTTAGAATGTCCAAACAGAACTGCCCATGAGTTGGAGGCAAAGTTGGATAAACGTTTTAGCTAAAAAGGATGACTTGTGTGTAAGTTACGGGGTCAGTGAATCACCACTTCCATCCATGAAATCCTGCTATCCCTAGGATAAAAGCGGCCGCAGACTCAGCTGAAGGGAAGCTCTAAGGGGAAGAGGCGCAAAATCGAAATCTTAGAACTAACTTGGCTTAGTGTTGTAAGAGGTTGGTGCTACGCTCGCCTTGATTTCATATTCTTGGACGGCCAAATTAGTCTGTCACTTTTGAAGAATGAGGGAAAAGCCTAGAAGAGGTTAGCACAGATACCCACAGCTAGCCTGCTCAGGTCAAGCTTTGTGGCACACAGCTTTTTTTTTTAATTTTTATTTTTTATATTAATTACAGTTTATTTACTTTGTATCCCAGCTGTAGCCCCCTCCCAATCCCACCCTCCCTCCCTCATCTCCCTGCCCCTCTCTAAACCCACTGATAGGGGAGGTCCTCCTCCCCTTCGATCTGACCCTAGTTTATCAGGTCTCATCAGGACTGGCTGCAAAGTCCTTCTCCTAGCTAGGCTGCTCCTCCCACCGGGGGGTGGGAGGGGAGGTCAAAGAGGTAGCCATAGAGTTCATATGTGTCACACTGCTTTAACCCCAGCTCTTAGGAGGCCGAGGCAGGTGTGTGGATATTTGTGAGTTCAAGGCCAGCCAGGAGAGAACCTGTCTCGAAAAATATAAAATAAAAGGAAGAAGAAAAACCAAAGCTTCAGTCCTAGCTAGGCAAATTGGCACATGCCTATAGTTTAAGCTGTTCTGGAGTCTGAGACAAGAGGATGATTTTGAAGTCAGCCTGAGAGACATGCTAAGTCTCTATTTCAAAGGTAGGGAAAACAAAGAAAACTAAGGTATTTAGCTTACAAATAAACTTTTTCAGCATCCAAAAAGCATAAGAGACTCAGGTGGGTTTTCCTTTGTTGAGATAGGGTATCATTATGTAGGCCAGGCTAATTTAGAATTCACAGACATCCACCTGCCTCAGCCTTCAGAGTACTGGGGTTATGAGTGTGCCTTCAGCCTCACCCTTAAACAGATAGTACAGATAAATACTTTTTAATTTATTTATTTTTTATATTAATCACAGGTTATTTACTTTGCATCCCGGGCGTAGGCCCCTCCCTCATGATAAATCTTTTTTTTTTTAAAGATTTATTTTATTTATTTTGTCTGAATGTAAGTTTGTGCACCACATGGGTACAGTGCCTGAGGAGGTCAGAGAAGAGAGCATCAGATCCCCTGGAACTGGAGTTTCACACAGTTGTGAGCTACCAGTTGGTTTCTGGGAACTTAACCCCAGAACTGAGCCATCTCTCCAGCCCCTCTCTCTCTCTATCTCTCTTTAATATTTAAATTTCTATGTACAGGAGTGTTTACCTACATGTATTTGTATGTCCTGCTTGCATGTCTAATACCCTTAGAGGGCAAAGGAAGGCATTGGGTGCCCTGGAAATAGAGTTATAGATGGTTGTGAGCTGTCATGTGGGTACCTGGTACCCAGATCCTCTGCAAGAAGAGCCATCTCTCCCCTGCCATACCTCCTCCTCCCATTTTTCTTTAATAGGAACTTTCAATGCATTCTGATATTCACTGCTACAAATGTTTCCTATATTTGATTTTTTTTTTTAAAATAGCTTGCTATGTAGCCTTGGCTGGCCTGGAACTCTGTGTAGACTAGGCTGACCTTCAGCACAGGGAGATCTTTGCATCTCCACCCCGCCTGGTCCTGGGATTGCAGGGGAGAACCATCATGCTTGGCCCTGTGTTTGATTCTGTTTTGGGGAGAGAGGGGTGTTGAGATGGGGTATTAAACAGCCTAATTTTGCCTTGAGCATATGGTCCTCCTGATATACCTCCCAACTGCTGATGTTACAGGTGTATGCCTCCATATCCAGCCTGTATTTAAGGGGGTTTTGTTTTGTTTTGTTTTGTTTTTGTTTTTTTCCAGGAACTTACTCTGCAGCCCTGGCTGGCCTGGAACAGCTTTGAGCTCAAGGCTGACCTTGAACTCATAGAGTTCAAACTGACCTGCTTCTGCTTCCACACCTATTTCCTGCCTGTATTTGATTTTTTTTTTTTTTTAATGTACGTGTATGTTCAAATGTATGTCCTGGAACTCTCTCTCTGTAGACCAGGCTGGCCTTGAACTCAAAGATCTTCCTGCCTCTGCCTCCTGAGTGAGTGCTGGGATCAAAGGTGTTCACTGCCAGCGCTGCCATCACCACCACCGCCACCTGGCTTGTAAACCTTTTTTGTTTATGAGAAACAATTTTTGGTGTTAAGAAGATACAGACAGAGCTGAAAGAAGTTCCTCTTGAGCTGAGAGGTCACACGATGAGCCCCATCACTTCTCACAGTTGGGAAAGACAGGAGTAGAGCATGCATTCTGAGGTTCTGTAAAACATAAGCATTCCTGTTAGAGGACGAGAGCTGCATGTAAGTAAATGTTACCCCAGGATACCTCGGGTGAATTTAGGGTACCTTCTTGTGGATCCATTTTATAAAATGTGTTTATCTTTATGTAACATTTGTGGGTTTTTTCCTAATTAGAATCTTTATAGTAGCTGGGCGTGGTGGTGCATGCCTGTACTCAAGGAGGCAGAGGCAGGTGGATTTCTGTGAGTTTGAGGCCAGCCTGGTCTACAAAGCAAGGCCAGGACAGCCAAGGCTACACAGAGAAACCCTGTCTTGAAAAACCAAAGAGAGAGAGACTTTATGGTACATCCAACCTTAACACACACTTTGTGAGTACCTGTGGCAGAAGAATGAGTCAGAAAGCCTGTGCGTAGATTAGAAAATTGTCTGGGTAATCTGGGAAGGCTTCCTGCAAGGAAAGGTTTGGGTTCCAGGGTAAAGTAGAACAGTGATGCCATGTACAGGCGAAAAAGGGAATGTATGTCCTCTAACTTGTTGGAGGTGATAGGCATGTCCAAGCCCTGTGTCAGCCATGATGTGCCTCCTTTTCTTTGTTCTCTTTTTTTTTCTTTCTCCAGGACTACTGATTACATCCTACCTTTCAATCCTGGATGGCGTGTCCGACTCACTGCTTCCTTCCTTCTCTCCATCTTCCCGCTGCTGGACCTCCTTCCAGTTGTTCTGCCACCAGGGTCTCACCCTGGGCCCTTAGGGCTAGAGGTGCTGGCAGGATGTGTGACAGCTGTGGCCTGGTTCACCCACAGCCTGGCCCTGTGGGCATTGGTTCATTCCCCTCATGGCCGCACCCGTGGACCCTTGGCCCTGGTTCTGGCAGCCTTTCTACCAGCCCCTGCCCTTGTGCTGACCCTGTTGTGGCATTGCCAACGAGGTACATTTCTGCCCCCACTTCTCCCAGGACCTCTGGGCCGTGTATGTCTCCTCATTCTGCAGCTGGGAGCAGTTTTGGCCTATGGATTGGGCTGGGCAGCCCCTGGAGGGCCCCGAGAGCCCTGGACTCGTGAACCTTTCCTGTCCTCTGAGAGTCAAGAAACAGAGGTGGCTGAAGATGGAGAGAGTTGGTTGTCACGCTTTTCTTATGCCTGGTTGGCACCCTTGCTTGCGCGTGGGATCCGTGGAGAGCTCCGGCAGCCCCAGGACACTTGCCGCCTCCCCCACAGGCTGCACCCTGCTTACCTGGCCCGTGCACTCCAAGCACACTGGAAGGAGGGGGCCCAGCTGTGGAGGGCCTTGTACGGGGCCTTTGGATGTTGCTACCTGGCCCTTGGACTGTTGAAGATTGTGGGAACCATGCTGGGATTCTCTGGGCCTCTGCTGCTCTCCTTGCTGGTGGGCTTCCTGGATGACGGGCAGGAGCCCTTAAGCCACGGCCTGCTCTATGTCCTGGGGTTGGCCGGTGGGGCTGTGATAAATGCTGTGCTAAACAATCAGTACGGCTATGAGGTGCGCAAAGTGACACTCCAGGCACGGGTGGCTGTGCTGAGCATCCTCTACCACAAAGCCTTGCAGCTAGGGCCTAGCCGCCCTCCTACTGGGGAGGTCCTGAACCTCCTAGGGACTGACTCTGAGAGGGTGCTCAACTTCGCCAGCAGCTTCCATGAGGCCTGGGGCCTGCCTCTGCAGCTGGCCATCACCCTCTACCTGCTGTACCTGCAGGTGGGCATGGCCTTCCTGGCTGGATTGGTCTTGGTCCTGCTCCTGGTACCTGTCAACAAAGTGATCGCCACCCGCATCATGGCCAGCAATCAGGAGCTGTTACAACACAAGGATGCAAGGGTTAAGGTGAGGGGGCTCCGGGTCTTTCAGCCAGGTGGAGATCCCCCAGCAGCCAGACAGAGAAGGTGTCTGAGCGCTGCCTCAGCTTCATACCACTCTCTTGTCCCCGTCTCCAGCTCATGACGGAGCTGCTGAACGGCATTCGAGTCATCAAATTCTTCAGGTGGGAGCAGGCTCTGGGGGACCGAGTAAAGGCCTGCCGTTCCCGAGAGCTGGGGCGGCTCCGGGTCATCAAGTACCTGGATGCAATTTGTGTATACCTGTGGGCTGCTCTGCCACTCGTCACCAGCATCACCATCTTCATCACTTATGTCCTCATGGGGCACCAGCTCACTGCCACCAAGGTAAGGGCTGGGGAGGGGTCTTGGCGTTACTATTGCCGTGATGAAACACTGTAACCAAAAGCAGCTTGGGAAAAGGGGCTTATTTCACTCAGTTCCATGTAACAGTTCATCATCAGAAGCAGTGAGGGCAGGAACCTGGTGACACAGAGGCGTGGAGGGGCACTGCTTACTGGCTTGCTCCTCCTGGCTTGCTCAGCCTGCTTTCTTATAGATCCCAGGACCGCCAGCCCCGGGGTGACACCACCCACAATGGGATGTGCCCACTCACATCACCCACTAATTGAGAAAGGGCCCTACAGGCTTGCCCACAGCCAGATTTTATGGAGACATTTTCTCAGCTGAGGCTTCCTCCCCTCTGATGACTCTAGCTTAGGTCAAATTGACATAAAACTAGCCAGCACAGAGGGAGAGGATGGGCCTAGGAAGAAATGGAAAGGGACTACTATGCAGTGGAAATGTGGGCTCAGGGCCTTAGTGTTAGTTCGGGGTCAGGGAGAAAGAGGACCTCTGGCTGCTTATTCTTTCTCAGCTAAAGGGTTCGCTTATGATCTTGGATAAATAGTTCTTTGTGGCATAAAGGAATTCCTTTCCTTCTCTCCCTTTATCTTCAAGTTCCATTCAGGCCCAGACTTGGGGTTAAGTCCTTTTATGAAGAAGTGCCTTTTTTTTTTTTTTTTTTTTTTTTTTTTTTTTTTTTTTTTTTTTTTTTAAGACAAGGTCTCCCTGTCTAGCCCAGGCTGCCATCTAACTGGAATTGGACCCCTTTGTTTCTGTTGAAGAGGCCTTTGGGGCCGGGGATCACAATCTAATATTGGGTCTGGCCTTAGTGACCACGGTTGTCACCCAGAGATTATAAGGGAGTCTCAGGGTGACCGAGGCTGTGTGCAGATTAAAAGAAGCTTGAGCTTTGTTTGCAGCTCCACGGCAGAGCCAGTGTTTACCATGCACGAGGCTCGGGGTCTGCCTGCAGCATCAAAAACAGTAACGTGACTTCCCTAGGGAGCACTTCGAATCGCTAGGCCGCCCCTGCCATTTCTAACTGTCGCCCGGCCAACCCCTCAGGCCTGCTGCTGCCCTCGCCTTGCCTCCATAGGCCTGTGGACAGGGCTGCCCTGAGTTGAGCAAGACTCCCCTCCCTCCACGCAGGTGTTTACAACCCTGGCACTTGTGTACATGCTCATTCTTCCTCTCAACAACTTCCCCTGGGTGATCAATGCCCTTTTGGAGTCCAAAGTGTCCCTGGATCGGATCCAGCGTTTCCTTGACCTTCCAAACTACAAGCCTGAGCTCTACTACCGCCCTGGTAAGTAGGGGCTAGAGGAAAGAACTGAGGACATGGTGAAGAGGGGGATATAATCTTTCTGCTTTAAGACTTATTTTATGTGTGTGCCTGAGTGTGTATGTGCACCACATGTGTGCAGATACTCGTGGAGGCCAGAAGAGGGCGCATTGGATCCCTTGGAACCAAAGTGAACAGGCATGAGCCTTATGATGTGGATACTGGGAACCAAATTGGGGTCCTCTGAAATGAAATGCTCATAACCACTGAGTCTTCTCCAGCCCTAGCCTGTTGGACACGGTGCATAGATGTTTCCAGAGAAGTCAGGAACAAAATCTAGGCACAAGAGACTCAGGCTGAATCAGCTCTGGGCAGGCAGATGAGGGACAGGTGACTCAGCGACATGCCACAACTTTGCCCTTTGCATTCCAGCAGATGAGTGGTGGGTGGGGAGCATAGGGTGAGTGGCTTCTTCCCTGCTTAGATCCCCCCACGGAGCCATCCACAGTACTGGAGATGCATGAAGCCCTGTTCTCCTGGGACCCGATCGGAACAAGCCAGAAGACCTTCATCAGTCACCTCGAAGTGAAAAAGGTTTGTGGGACAGACACCCAGGGAGAGTTCTCAGATAAGCAGACACACAAGGACTAATGCCCAACAGAGAGGGCATTGTCTGAAAGAAAGGTAGGGCTTGGTGTTTAGGTTCCAGCCTGAGGGGAGACAACCCTTTCTGTGTGCATCTCACTTCTCCTACCTCCTCACACTGGTCATACCTCGCCCTGATCTAAACAGTTCAGCCCACCTAGTCCTAGTCCACAGGTGTGTTTGAGTCCCCCTCGAGGGTCCCTTTCCAGCTGCAGGTTCCAGAACAGACCCCAGGGCTTTCCCACTATCATTTCAGGCTGGGAACCTGGGAACCAGGCCAGCAGCCCCTTCCAAGGACTTTTACAAACAGCATAGGTGGCCCTCCACTTAGTCTCGTGAAAAAACGGTCATGCCTTGGGACTCCTGACATGGCATATGTAGTCAACGACCTATAATGGGAGCATTCCTCCCAGGATGGTGACCCTTCTTCATCCTGGTTTTGAGTTATTCTCCTGACCTTTGTCCAACCCTTTGCCCCACATCTCAACCTCCAGCAATGGATGAATTGCCTCTACCACATTTGGCTCACATTTCTGGCTTTTGTTGAATGTTTTGTTTTTGTACTTAGTTCGGGCAAGACAAGGCTGGAATTCTTCAAAGGAATTTTACTAATGTGTTGGGGGAAGTATATATACATTCATAGAAACCCAGTGGAGCTAGCCTAAGCAAACAAGAATTTGCAATAAGACACATAGATGAATCAGAGTCCAAAACAAGAACACAGATCTTAGAAGCAGCCCAGAACCAGGCCTCAACTTGCAGCACTATTGGCCTGCTTCTTTGTGTGTCTGCTTCATGCCGTCTGTGGACTCTGCAAATGAGCAGAAATGTGTCAGTCTTCCAACTTGTAGGCTCTAGCCAGCAAGAACGAAGCTACCTGAGACCCGATCCCTCACTCCCAGAAAGATCATAGCCTGGTGCCCACTTGCAGATAGGTCAGCCCTGGCTGCATCATGTGGTCATCATGGACAAAGCTGCAAAGATCCCTGAACATTTCTAAATTTTCTTCACAAGTTGAGTAATAGCTCCATGAATGTACATTGCAACTAAGAAATGAAGGAAGAACAGAGCTTCACAGAATGGGCATTTGCAGAGCACTGCCTTTTGCCTGCTATGATGGGAAATGTAACCCAGGAGCTGCAGAGACAGGGATCCCTCCTCCCATGTCCACCTTAGCGTACCTCAGGAGATCCTAGATAGTTTCCCTCTGGCAGGTGTGTCTCCCTCACAGGCAGTGCAATCGAGAATAAAGCTTGCAGCTGTTCGGGGGCAGATGTGACAAGTCACAGGGGCCCACATTGTGGGCTGGGAGACAGCTTTCCCTGAAGACTTTGAGGCACAGAGAAACATCTGTTGGGGCTTTGTCAGTCTAGAACTTCACAAGGAGACTGCTGCTCCAACCCCGTACACCCTTCCCCTGCAATCAGGCAGCGCTTACATGTCGCTTCTTACAGGGCATGCTGGTGGGCATCGTGGGAAAGGTGGGCTGTGGCAAGAGTTCACTGCTGTCTGCTATCACTGGGGAGCTCCACAGGTAATCAGCTTTCAGCATGCCTCCGACTCTGGCCTCCCCCCTCAGAGCCATTCACCAGGGCCCTGCTGTATGTGGGAATGTTCTTAGTGTGTTTGTGTGTGGAAGGGAACACCAAAGGGTGAAAAAAAAAGGGGGGGTATCAAAAAGGGTAAAATTCAGCCCCTGTCTATGGAGGTTTCAGACTGGAGATGGGCTACGATGTAGCTCAATTGATAGAGCACTTGCCTGACATGAACAAGCCTTGGGTTTGAACCATAGTACCACATTAAACTGGTCGTAAACTGGTTGTAATGGTATAAGTCATTACTCTCAGCACTCAAGAGATGGAGACAAGAGGATAGGAAATTTAAGTCATCCTTGGCTGCACAGCAAGTTCAGTGCCAGGCTGGGATATATGACATCCTATGTCAAAGAAATAAGATAAAAGTAGCTAAATAAATGGAGTGGGGGAAATCATTGCCACACTAGAGCACTGGTTCTCAATCTTGCAAGTTCTGTGACCCTTTAATACAGTTCCTCGGGCTGTGGTGACCCCAACCATAAAATCATTTTCGTTGCTACTTCATCCCTGCAATCTTGCTGCTGTTATGAGTTGTAGCATAGATATCTGTGCATTCCTATGGTCATAGGTGACTGCCGTAAAAGGGTTGTCTAACCCCAAAGGGGTTGCAACACCCGGGCTGAGAAACCATTGCACTAGAGGGTCACGGAGTTAGAATAAGAAGAGAAGTGACATGTACTGTCAGCTGTCCCTTTTAAATATGGCTACATGGGGAAGCGGTCCAGAGAGAGTGAAGATTTGAGGGAGGCCGTGTTTTCCGGGGAGGATGAGCCACACTGAATTCCACAGTGCATATATAGGACAGCTGCTGGGCTGAAACCAAAGGGCTGTTTCCTCCAGTCTGTGGTGAGCCTACAGCTAGATCCCCTTAAACTCAGAGGTTGTCGGCTACAACTGAGGAAATTCTGAGAGTCAGGGCCTGGGCATGGAAGGGCCCAGTCAGGAGAGACAGGGCCATGGAAGGGCCCAGTCAGGAGCTAGCTGCTATACTGCCTTGGCTCTCTGCAGGCTATGTGGGTGGGTGACAGTGTCAGAGCTGTCCAAAGGCTTTGGGCTGGCTACCCAGGAGGCCTGGATCCAGTGTGCCACGATCCGAGACAACATCCTCTTTGGGAAGACATTTGATGCCCAGCTGTACAGGGAGGTTCTGGAGGCCTGCGCCCTCAGTGATGATCTCAGCGTGAGTACCTGGCTTGACACCCTCACCTCCTGCTTCCCCCTGTGTCCCTAACACCTCAGATTGCAGTCGCTTCTCTGGGAATGGCTTCCGCACAGGCATCACTCATCTAGGGCAAGCCATCAGCCTTAGGCCTCCTAGAGTATTCAGCTGCTTGGTCCCGACTTCCCTGTAAGGCTCACGGGAGGATGGAGAGGGTATTACACACAGCAGCTAGAATATCTCCAAGGCCTCTAAAACCAGGCTAGGGTTCCCTATGAGGCTTGGCCCTACCTCACTAAGAAGGTTTGGAAGAGTCGAGGTCTTGTTTAGAATCCTGTGAAAGCTGCCAAGCCCATTAGATTGTCCCATACACACAAGCCAGGCACTGAAACCATCAGAGAAATGAGATTTTTTTTTCCTATGAATTTTCAACCAATCCCCATGTCTCCTCTAGGACTGTAGTCAACACTGGCCTGCCCAGCTAAATATAAAACTTCCCTGAGCAAGAGGGCCTTTGATTTTGATCAGGGGTCATCTTATGTTCCTTTATCATTTGAGTCACATCCTTTGAGCAAGGTGCTTCACCCACCTATGCTTCTGTCCCATCTGTGAAGAGGAGATAGCACCAACTTTATAAGATCTTCCTGGCTTTAAATGAGATAATTCCTGTGCCTTAGTTGCTCTTCTGTTGCTGTGATAAAACACCATGACCAAAGCAACTTATGGAAGAAAGAATTTATTGAGGGTTTACTGTTCCAGAGGGTTAGTCCATGACCATTATGGCATGGCAGGGAGCATGGCAGTGGGTAGACAGGTGTGGGGCTAGAGCAGGACATTTTGAGACAATAGTCACAAAGCAAAGAGAGCTAACTAGGAATAACAGACTTCTGAAACCTCAAAGCCTGACAGCAGTGACACACCTCCTCCAACAAGGCCACACCTCCTAATCCTTCCTAAACAGTTTCACCAACTGGAAGCCAAGTGTTCAAACAAATGAGCCATGGGGCCATTCTCACTCAAACCACCACAGCCTAGAAAACGTTAAATGCATAGTAAGTGTTCAGTATAAGAACCCAGGCTTATCTCCTCTGAGTCTCACTTGTCCCAGACTGAAGCACAGTCTCAAGTTTATAAGGCCTTTTGATCTCTACATCATCCCTTTCCTAGCAAGGGACAAGAGACACGGTAGAAGATGTGGGGCGTTTGCTAAGCACTGGGTGTCTGTTCCTGCAGATCCTGCCCGATGGAGACCAGACAGAGGTGGGAGAGAAGGGTGTGACCCTCAGTGGGGGACAGCGGGCCCGGATTGCACTTGCTCGTGCTGTCTACCAGGCAAGTTAAAGGGGCGAGGGACGGGACCCCAGTAGGTCAGGAGTACGGGAGTGGTCCAGTGCTATGGGAGCCTGCTGAGTAGGGGCTAGGGATATTTTCCTCTGCATTTGATTTCTCTCTCCCACACTCCATGTTCCTAGGTATTGGCTACTTAATTCAAGGCAAAAATAAAGACCTTCGGCCCTGGGGCCCAGCAAAGCATGAGATCAAAGACTCTAGCTTTACACTCAGTTAGAGGGAAATCTGTCATCATGTGTCATCATCTTTCCTGCTATTATAAAATTGTCTTCACTCATCTTTTCTGGTTGCCTTGAGATCTGGGTCTAGGAGAGCCTGTGAGCCCAGCCAGAGGACTTGGGCCATGGTGCCTGCTGTCTGTTCTGTCTTAGGAGAAAGCACTCTATCTCCTCGATGACCCTCTGGCTGCTGTGGATGCAGATGTGGCCAACCACCTGCTAAACAGGTGCATCCTGGGAGTGCTGAGCCACACCACCCGGCTGCTGTGCACCCACCGCACAGAGTACCTGGAGAGGGCTGATGTAGTGCTGTTGATGGAGGCCGGGCGCCTGGTGCGATCAGGTAATGTTGTAGAGAGACTTGCCCTGGTGTGACAGGGAGTGACGGGTGGAGTGTCACATGCAGAGCAGATCTTGCCCCCACTTCCACGCGTGGCCTGAGTGCAGCTCTCAGCTCTTTCCACCCCCACAGACTCAGCATGAGGAAACAGGAGAATGGGTTGGGGGTGGGATGGCCATGTGCCTGAGCTCTTAAAACTGAGCTTCCTAGGAGTTTGAGAGCAGTCACGTGGCTTCAGAGAAGTAAGCAGTGACCTGATAGAACAACCTGCTTGTAAGGAAAAAAAAGGACAAAACTTTGATAGATTATTGTCCCAGGGGATATGGCCATCTGCAGAGCTCCTGGCAAAGCAACAGGAAAAAGTGAGGCCCAATTGAGTTAAAACTTGAGAAAAGGTTCTGCAATAGTGACAGACAGCACGGTGCCAGTGTGTGGGGTGCTCACTCACAGCCAGGGCTTTCCTCGGAACTTCTGCTGGCTAGACTCCAGGTACACAGCAGTGGACCTCATGAGCCCACTTGGGTAGGCTAGGGGACGATGGCCAGACAGGGGGCTGGGGGATTAAACACACATTTACAAAGGCATAGTGTACACCCATAACGGCCTCCTCTCCTTCTGCCTTCCAGGACCTCCTTCTGAGATTCTACCATTGGTACAAGCTGTCCCCACAGCCTGGGCTGAGGAGGAACCAGTGACTAGCTCAGGTATGGCCCAGAGGTGGGAGAAAGGGGATAAGTCCCCCCGCCCTTTCTTTGTATCTCAGTGTGTCACAGAAGATATAAGATCTCCTAAGTTCAAGCCCAGGCTGGCCTTGAACTTACTGGTAGCCTAGACTGGCCTCAAACTCACAATCCTACTGAGTGCTGAGATCACAGGTGTGTGCCACCACACATGGAAAAGTTTGTTATGTTTTTGGTTTTTGTTTTCCTTCCTAAGTCCTGGGAGGCAAACCCTGGGCCTCATGAATGCGTGTCAGAGGCTGTGCCCCCAAGCCCTCGAGTCTTGGGCTGCTTCTGCCTGGCACACAATGGTAATGATTTTTAAAGCCTTCCTGCTCTGCAAAACACTCATATTTCAATCATGATTTCAATGAGGCCTTCCTGATTCTCACAGGCAAGTCCCAGTCAGTGCAGAGCCTGGAGAAAACCACGGAGGTGTTGGAGGTGGAGCGGAGTGCGTCTGGTCGCCTAGTGCAGGAAGAAAGCAAAAACGAGGGTGCCGTGGCCCTGCATGTATACCGGGCGTACTGGAGGGCCATGGGCAGCTGCCTGGCCACTGCCATCCTCATCTCCCTACTTCTCATGCAAGGTGAGACTCTCCCCAGAAGTTCCCCACCCAGGCCCATCCACCGAATCCCCTGCCATGTTACCCAGGTACTCGTGACCACAGTCACCTTGTAGTAATGACCGCAAAGCTCCAAACCTTCCCAACACAACAGTTGGGACAAAAGGCGGACCCCAATTTTGAGGGCTCTTGTGGTCGGCTAGACTTAGTATCCTACCGTAGTCCTCTTCCTTAATTAAAAAGAAATACTCGTTTTATCTGTGAGTATTTTGCCTGCATGTATGTCTGTGCACTGTGTGTGCTTGGTGCACACAGAGGTCAAAAGAAGACATCTGATCCTTTGGAGCTGGAGTTACAGATGGCTGTGAACAGTCACGGGATGTCGGGAACTGAACCCAGGTCCTCTGCGAGCGCAGCCAGTGCTCTTAACTGCTGAGCCATCTCTCCAGCCCCATCATGGTCATCTTTTTAAAAATACATTCTTATGGTCTTTTTTTTTTTTTTGAGACAGAGTCTCACTGTGCAGCTCAACTGGTTTGGTTGGCCTTGAATTTGCAATCCCCCAGCCTCAGCATATGAGTATGGAAATTATAGGTGTTCACCACCACCACTTGTGTCCATAGATACCCTTTGATCTGCCGTCCAGGCCAGCTCCATTCTGTAAAATTGGCCGTGCCGTCCACAGAGCTGAAGGGCAACAGGGCTAGGAACAGGGTACGGTGGGAAGGACCAAAGATAGCGCTAAGAGGTGGAGGCCCGGGGCAGAGTACAGAAGAGGGAAGGCTCAGCTGAGGGCTGAGAATGGGGATGTTTGAGTAGACCGTGCAGATGAGTCTTTGCGACTTCTCCCTTCCCGTCCATGTGCAGCCACACGCAATGGTGCCGATTGGTGGCTCTCTCACTGGCTCTCTCAGCTGAAGGCAGCCAGAAATAGCTCCGAGGAGGGAGCTTTGTCCAGCCCAGACTCTACAGGACTGCTCTCCCCACCGCTGCTCCTCTTCTCTCAGAGAAGCTTCTAGTGAGTGGCTGAGGCTGGGAGCAGGGTTAGGGCTCCAATACCCTCTAGGAAGGGAGGGCAGGCTTGAAGCTGGGCCTCGTAGAGGGTGGGAAAGGTGGCCCTAGAGAAGGGAGGGGACCCCTGAGTAGCTCTTCTTGGAGTTACCTACATTCTCCTCCCCACTGTTCAGCATCCCACTGTTCAAAGCTGCTTCCAATGGCTCCTCAGATGTCCACTACCTCACCGTGTACGCGACCATTGCTGGTGTCAACTCTCTCTGCACCCTCCTCCGGGCAGTGCTCTTTGCAGCAGGTGTCCTTCAAGCAGCTGCCACCCTCCACCACCGCCTCCTGCATCGACTACTCATGGTGAGGGGGTGGGAGAGAGGGAGATAGCCCCAGGCTCACACCCTCTAGTGCATGACCCACATTCCACAGTCCCAGTCTGCTCAATGGCCTCTGACAGATGGGGCAGCAGGAAATGATCTCAGACCCAGAGGCTGTGGAGCCAAGTGTCTACCTGGGTTTGGAGCTAATGATTTAAGTCTGGAGTTTGTCATCTATAAAGAGGGCAATTGAGAGGACATTCTTCAGTGTCCCATGTTGGACCTGAGGTGCTAAGGCTCGACCTTGTAGTTCACGCAAGGCCTGCTTTCTCTTTTGTGTTCTCTATTTTCTGTTATGTCTATAGTCTGTTTCCATTAACCTTTCACTCCTGGATAAGCAACCTTACTAAAGGTAATTTATCTGTTGTCTTTTTGTTTGTTTGTTTGTTTGTTTGTTGCAGAATGCCTGTTTTATGTGCATGCACTTTTAAAATCTTTATTTCTTATGCATTTATTGTTGTTTCTGAGACAGGGTCTCATTATCTAGCCCTGGCTGTCTGAGAACTCAGCATGTAAACTAGGCTGCCCTTTAACTCACAGAGCTCTGCCTGCCTCTGCCTCCACATGCTGGGATTAAAGGCATGTGCCATGACTGTCCCGCCGTCCCCACATTTTTTTTTTTAAGCAGAGTGAGCATAGATTTATGGGAAAAGTAAGAACTCTCTAGACTAGAAAGTTTCCAGGAAGAAACAAATATCCTGTTGCTCCTTTTTTAAAGACAAGGATCAGGGACCTTGGAGAGAGAAACAAATTCCTTGTCTAGGGACTCACATCTCCTAAGTGGCAGACCTAGTGTTCAAGTCAAAGTCTGAGTCCACCTGAGCTTTCGTTTGGTCTTGGTTTGATCTGTGTTTCTGAGGTAGGCTCTCTTATTGCCTCTGACAAGCTTGAACTCCTAATTCTCCTGCCTTCGCCCCTGGGTGCTGGGATTAAAGGCATGCACCGTCACGGCCAGGCTCGGCACCTCAGCCCTTCGGCAGTGCTGCTCTCCAGCTGCGGCAGGGTGCTCCTCCAGACAGCTCAGTCTCACTTGCTGGCCCGAAGGCCCATCTTGTGGAGAGACTAGCTCTCTTCCCTTAGACGAGTGGCAAGCATGTGCAGCCCAGAGGGTGACGAGTCCTTTGCACGGCCTTGCAGGGCTGCCACTGGCCTGCCGGAGAGCCTTTCCCACCCTGAGATACCGCCTTCCAAATTCCACCAATCCCTCTATTCCCAAACTGGGGATACGTTATTCTCTTTTCTACCGCAGGCTAGCTTTTCTACCTCACCCCCCCCCACACACACACACACACCAGCCTGTCCACCAACTCTTTTCCTTCAGCCATTGACCCTGTCCAACCACCTCCCTCTTCCAGGCACCAGTGACTTTCTTTGACTCCACACCCACGGGCCGGATACTGAACCGCCTTTCCTCAGACGTAGCCTGTGTAGACGACAGCCTGCCCTTCCTCCTCAACATCCTGCTGGCCAATTCCGTAGGCCTTCTGGGCCTCCTGGTTGTGCTGGGTTTTGGTCTGCCCTGGCTGCTGCTGCTGCTGCCACCTCTGAGCCTCATCTACTACCGGGTGCAACGCTGCTACAGGGCCTCCTTCCGGGAGCTTCGGCGTCTGGGCAACCTCACCCTGTCTCCGCTCTACACCCACCTGGCTGACACCCTGGCAGGCCTCCCCGTGCTCCGGGCTGCAAGAGCCACTTACAGGTGCATCCCCCAGGCAGAGTCCAGGGGTGGTGGGTGAGGCGATGTGGGAGCATACACGACGGGCAGAGGTAAAGGAGTTGAGTCTCCTTGGGAAGACGGAGGGAAGAGACACTTAAGTGTGGAAAGTAGAAGAGTAAGGTGGAGCAGGACGGGTATGCAAGTCAGCTCCCAGGAAGGATGCGTGTCACAGAGAAGGGGTGAGGCCAGCACAACAGTGGAGCGGCTTCCCTTCCTTCCTGGCCTCCTCCAGGTTTGAGGAAGAGAACCAGCGACTCCTGGAGCTAAACCAGAGGTGCCAGTTTGCTTCCTATGCCACAATGCAGTGGTTGGACATTCGGCTGCAGCTCATGGGGGCAGCAGTGGTCAGCGCCATCGCGGGCATTGCTCTGGTGCAGCACCAGCAGGGCCTTGCCAACCCAGGTGCCAGCCTGGGACCCAAAACCCTTAGTTTAGGAACAAGTCATTCCAGATCCTTGACCCCAACCCCTTGTATGTCTCTCTTCCCCACTCCCTCCTCTTACCCAGTGTTCCCTGTGAGGATGCTTCTTCAACACCATTACTTTAGTGCCAAGAAATCCACAGGCAGTGGTGAATCTGGGACCAAACCAAGTCCTGTGATGGTCACCTTTTCCTTGTTCCTAGCCATAGTCCTACTCTGCCACCAGGCTACCTTAGTCTTAGGCCCGCCAGCCCTCGTAGCTTTCTTCTCCAGGCGTAATCCATCACTTCCATCTAGCCTTCCCTGACGCTGGCCTGGGTCCAGTCATCTGCCCTTGTACACCCATAGTTTAAAGCTGGCATTCTTGTGTTCTGCACACTCTCTCCCACAAACTTCTCAGCATTTATGTGTCCCCTAGCGGCTGGTACTCCTCTCCCCAGGGCTGGTGGGCCTCGTGCTGTCTTATGCCTTGTCCTTGACGGGCCTGCTTTCCGGCCTGGTAAGCAGCTTCACACAGACGGAAGCCATGATGGTGAGCGTTGAGCGCCTGGAGGAATATTCCTGTGACATCCCCCAGGAGCCCCAGGGCCAGCCACTACAGGTAGGTCTGTCCTGCCACCCTAGGCCAGAGCTTCCGGCCCTGGGGAGTCCTCCAGTCTCCCCAGCTCTTCCCCTTTGCTCCTTGCCATCTTTTCCACATCTCTGAGCCTCTTCGCCGCCCTTTTTCATCCATGTCCTTCATCTCATCACTCCCTGTTTCCTCTCCCTCTGCTCTCACTCCAGCTGTTCTTCATTCTTCCCCCTCCTTCCTCCCTTTAGCCCAGTCCTCGCCATCATCCTTCCTTCACCTCTTGTCCACAGTCACCCCACCAGGGCACCAGCTGGCTGACGCAGGGAAGTGTGGAGTTCCAGGATGTGGTTCTGGTATATCGGCCAGGGCTGCCAAATGCCCTGGATAGGGTGACCTTCCGCGTGGAGCCTGGAGAAAAGCTGGGCATCGTGGGCCGTACAGGCTCTGGCAAGTCTTCCCTGTTTCTGGTGCTCTTCCGGCTGCTGGAGCCCAGCGCAGGGCGGGTGCTGCTGGACGGTGTGGACACCAGCCAGCTGGAGCTGGCTGAGCTCAGGTCTGGGGGCAGATGATTTGTGAGGAGGGAGGGGGTCACTGGGAAGGAACTACCCTAGGAAGGCGTTAGTAAACTCAGGACAGCCAGGGCCAGTCAGCAGACAAGGAAGATGCGGTGGACAGGTGAGGACAGGTAAGCTGTGACCGTGGTCACAGCTGATGATGACTGGACCTTCCTTACCCCACTTGGAGTACATTTCCCTCTTGGTCTTGTGGTTCCCAGAGTGCCCCCTCTTCTCCAGACGCTAGCCATTGCCTTCGCAATCAGCGCCTCTCAGGAGCCATATTCTCAGATGCCATGAGCCCTCAGGCCTTAGGCTTGGCAGGCAGTACATGGGGCAGCTTGGGGCCTGGGGCAGTTGTACTTGAACACAGGTGCCCTCATCTGGAGCTCTATGTGCCCCAGCCTATTCCCAGTTTACCTTAGAATCACCTTCTCTCCATTCCACGACATGGGACTGATAAGGAAGCTTCACCCAAAGCCCCGAACTTGTGGTTGCTCCCTGCCCTGCCTCTTCCGCCCTCTGACCTTATGGCTTGACCATTTTAGCTCCTTGGCCTCCTCCAATTTGGAAGTGCCTCCATCCCATTCCTGCTCTCTTCTCCCCCTGCCTTTCCACTGCTGTCTGTGGGGTCAGTTCAGCCATTTGTTCTCTGGCTTTGAACACCTTGATGAGCTATAATCAGTTAAGGCCAGAGTCTAGGCCCTTGATGTCCTTGGTGCCTCTCACTGTACTGGTGCTGTCCTAGGTTTGTGTCTGACTAACATGATTTGGTAAATAAGGGGTGGGAAGCAGAGGGGGTGATCTCCTTAGAAGTGCCAGGCCCCATAGGTAAGCTTGGGCCACAAGAAGATGGGCGCATCTCCAGCCTGGCCCCTGTGTCCTTGTTCCCCAGATCCCAGATGGCTGTTATCCCCCAGGAACCTTTCCTGTTCAGTGGGACTGTTCGGGAGAACCTGGATCCCCAGGGCCTGCATGACGACAGGGCCCTGTGGCAAGCCCTAGAGCAGTGCCACCTGAGTGCAGTGACCATCGCTGCGGGTGAGTCTCGGGCCAAGCCTGGAAGGGCAGGTAAGAAGCGAATAGGTGCTAGCAATGCAGACGTTCTGCTTGCAGGCGGCCTAGATGGAGAGCTGGGCGAAAGGGGCCGGAACTTGTCCCTGGGACAGAGGCAGCTGCTGTGTCTGGCCAGGGCTCTTCTTACAGATGCCAAGGTAAGACACGAGGAGGAGGCATCCAAGAGGCAGGGATGTGTCGAGGGAGGAGGTGGTTTGGAGAGAGGTTTCAGGGAAAAACTGAAGGTGGGGAACTGTAGGGAGATTACAGTCCCCCCACTCCTACTGCCCAGATCTTGTGCATTGACGAGGCCACCGCAAGTGTGGACCAGAAGACAGACCAGCTGCTCCAGCAGACCATCTGCAAACGCTTCGCCAACAAGACAGTGCTGACCATTGCCCACAGGTGTGAGAACACCCGGGGACAGCAGAGGCACAGACCTCTGACCCTTGAAAGGACACCACCCACCCCCGCCCCAGAGAGATCAGACCCCAGAGGTAGCATTGGCTAGGCATGAGGATCAAAGCCTGGGGAACTCGGCTTCTGTTCCTTCGGGTGCAGCCCCAGGTCCTTAGCACATCTGGAGAGATACCACGTTTCCTGCCATTGCACAGGCCCAGGGACTCAAACCTGTGGGGGCAAACCTGTGAGGTCTGGAAGGATCTGGAGGAACATCAGGTCAGCTTTCCCTTTAGGGCCCTGGAGCCCACTGGACCACCACTGACAGACTTTTCCCACACAGGCTCGACACAATCCTCAGCTCCGACCGTGTGCTGGTGCTCCAAGCCGGGAGGGTGGTAGAACTGGACTCCCCCTCAGTTCTGCGCAACCAGCCTCACTCCCTGTTCCAGCAGCTCCTGCAGAGCAGCCAGCAGGGAGCCCACCCCCTCCCTGCAGGATGCTGAGCCCCTTCCCACCAGGGCTGCCCATTTGCACCCTCCTCTGTGCATCTACCTCTCTTCCGCCTCCCCAGAGGGGAGTGGGCACCCTGGCTTCCTCTGTGAAAACCGCTCATAGGTGGGCTGGAGGCTGAGGCTTCCCCAGACCCCGCCCGCCGTGGGCCTCTTCACCCAGAATTCTGGTGAATTCTGGGCCAGTTTTTCTTCCATAGAAACCCACTTGCATTTTAATAATTTTATTTGATAAAATTCCTATCTGACATCCTGTGTTTTTAAAAAAATAATATTTCTGGTGTGAGGCTGAAATCCCCTGGATGGCTGTACCAAAGTGGAGAGCTGCTGAGAAAGGACCGCTACAGTCTGAGGTGTGAAGGAAATGAGGAAGGGGGCCCGAAAGCCCCACTACCACTTTCATCACAGCGAGGTGGTCTTACCAGGCTCTGGGGGCAGGTCTGGTGGCAGAGGGAACCCTGCTGGCAGCATGCTAACCTGACACTCCTGGTCCTGCCGAGCTGGGGCATAGTGTGGGGCTGGGTAACAACAGGGTCCAGTGGGCCATATGCCCCGGCGCCACGCCCTCAGGGTCAGCAACACAGTGGCCAGGACCAGAGCAGCAGTAAGGGACCCGAACACCACCAGGGCCACCAGGCTAGACTCACCTAGCCCAGCCTCCTGCCTCCGCACCACCTCCTTCACTGAGATCCTCAGCAGGCCTGCCCCTGCACTGTGAGGGGCTGGCCCCGTAGCAGGTACAGCCGCAGCTGCGGTGGGTGTCTGTGGGGTTCCCATCGTGGCTGGGTCTGGAGCAGGTAAGACAAGCTCACAAGTCTTGCCTCCGTAGCCACTGGGGCAGAGGCAGTCAAAGTCATGGATGCGGTCCCGACAGCGGGCCCCTCTCTGGCACGGGCGGCTGGCACAATCATCTAGGTTGATGGTGCAGAAGCGTCCAGCAAAGCCCTCAGGACAGAGGCAGGAAAAGCGGTTTATGCCGTCAATACACGTGGCACCATTAGCACAAGGTCGCATCAGGCAGTCATCCACATTGACCTCACAGTGGGCACCCATGAATCCTGCCAAGCAGCGGCACGTGAAGTTCAGGGCAAAACCTTGGTTGTCCTGGCACTGGCCGCCATTCCGGCATGGGGAGCTAAGGTGGGATTGGGAGAGAACATTGGTATCAACTTGCCAATCAGCGTCCTGACCACTGACTTCCCCCTTTCTTGCTGTGTCACCTTGGGCTGCTCTCTCTGAGTTTCAAATAACCGTAATTTAAAAATGAGAATAAAAATAGCCAAACCGAGTGGGTTAAATGAGAGAACCCAATGTCAGGCAGTAAACATAAGGTCAGGCCCAAACTCAGGGCTCAGAAAAGTGCTGTCTATTATCTCCACAGGCTCTTAGGCCTGTAGCGGAAATGGGGCAAGTCCAGCCCTGCGGTCGTTTCATAATCCGCACAGGAAGAGCCAGCTCGCTCTCAAGGCTGCATGTCTGCTTTTGTGAGAAAGTAAAGGGAGTCCTAGGTGCCTCCCCTCCCCAACCAAAACATCATCTGTGGTGAAGAAACACCTCAGGAGTAAAAAAAAAAAAATGATCTGACCCAGGTACGCTGTCACAGTGGAGTTTTTATCCTGAGGTGCCCTTGTGTGGATCTGATTCTTAGTGTCCCCTCTACTGCCCATCCTGCCCCTTTTCTCACTACCAGATTCTGGTCTAGCCTCCCCAGGGCCCAGCACTCACCCTGCCTGCTCACAAGGTCCAGCTTTGCGCTCACAGCCGCGCCCATGGAAGCCTGGCAGGCACACACAGTGGTACTCGCCACCGCCGTCATACACACACTGGCCTCCATTCTGGCAGGGTGACTGTGAAGTACAGATGTGCTCATCTGGAGAGGAGGTAAAAAGACCGTGGGATAACCTCCTATTTGGTCCCCAGGACCCACATGGTCCAGATCCAAAGCTCTGGCAAAGTGGCTTATGCCTCTGACTCACCCCCTGCCCCCCCGCCAGTATGGTGCTGGGGTTAACTATACTGAAATGAGGTTTCAGGAGCTCCTGGCCTCAGCTCCAGCAGTCTGGGTCAGACTGACTTCAAACAAGTTACAGCTTCTCTGTGGACCATACTTTCATCAAGTTTAAAATGGCTACAGTTGAGCACTAGCTACTCTTCAGATGTCCTGAGTTCAATTCCCAGTGCCCACGTGGCAGCTCACAATATGATACCCTCTTCTGGTCTGCAGGCATACATGCAGACAAAGCACCTGTAAACACAGCAAAGCAAAAATGCCCACGATTTTTAGCAGGTGCCTTTCCAACATCATGAGGCGATATTAAGGATCCATTCAGACACCAAGGAGGGATGAGATCAGAAAGAATAAATTTGGGAGGACTTGAACACGACACAACAGGCGCTCAGCGAACAGTACATATTAATGGACGCTCTAGAACATATGGGCCCTGCAGCCAATAGCCCCTCCATCCTACCTTTGTCACAGAACTTTCCTGCCCAGCCACTGTGGCAGATGCACTGCCAGGGCTGGTGGCAGGTGCCGTGCTGGCAGCCAGGCATCCTCACACAGCGCTCACAGTGCAGCCCCTCCCAGCCTGGGTCACACCTGGTGGGAAAGAACACGGGATCAGGGCCCCAGAGAGAAAGCAGACCGGTCCTGGGTGGGTGCAGGGCTGCGCAGACACACCAGCCATCAGACAGCAGCTTTCAAGTTCAGCATCTGTGTCTCGTCCAGCCTCTCAGAATCCGCTACCTCACCTGAGAAAGTGCTTCCCTTGAAGGCTATTGTTAAATAAAACTGTAAACGCCACTTCTTGTGCCCATCCCTCGAGTGTCTGGTTATGACCATTTGAAAGAGTGAGTAGCCTTCTGAGGTCCCTGGGACCTTCTTCCCTTCAGATTCCAGAAAAAGTGGCTGGGTTATTTGTTTTGGGTTTTTTTTGTTTGTTTGTTTGTTTGCTTGGGGGCGGGGGAATAGGAGGGTTGTTGTTTTGTTTTTATCTGAGTCTCAGGTAGACAAGGCTAGCCTGGAACCCTGATCTTCCTGGCCACACTTCGCAATCACTAGGATTACAGATACGTGTTAGCACACAGGCTCTATGACTTTATGTTGTTGTTGCTTGGAACAGGGTTCCTCCGTGGAGCCCTGGCTGTCCTAGAACTGGCTCTGTAGACCAGGCTGGCCTTCAACTCAGAGATCCGCCTGCCTCTGCCTCCTGAGTGCTGGGATTGAAGGTGTGTGCCACCGATGCCCATCAGCTTATTTTTTCTAAGCCCCATGCCAAGTGCCTGCCCCTGTCGGTTCACTTCTCATGTCCAAACCCTTCTGCCACATATTTTGCCCAATCTGCCCTGGTGAGTTAATGGCAGAATTTGCCAAGAAAACAACCACTGTCCCTGCAGCCTTTCCTCCCAAGCAACACTTCTGTTTTCCTCTTTCTTGTGGCTCCCAGTTCCCAAACTCTCAAGCTTCAGGTGTCTTTACTGGCATCTTTAGGGACAGAGCCCATGAGAAAATAAAAAAGTTGGATTTGCAAGCTGTCATAGGAGAGAGAGAGAGAGAGAGAGAGGGAGAGAAAATCGGGGGACTGGTCATCTCGTACAAAAACAAACATGAGGGCCTTAAGCTCCTAGATACTGTTTTGGGGATGTGGAGGGCCGAAAAGCAGGGAGCAAAGGATTTGAGACACGCGTGCAGCAGAAGTACCTGCAGGAGCCGTCGGGAGCACAGCAGCCGTGGGCCAGGTCACAGTGAGAGCTGCAGTCATCCGCTGAAAGAGAACGGTGCAGCAGGAGTGAGCCTGGGTCAGGGGGTCTGGCTTCCCGGGACTTGCAGAGATTCCAGTAGTTCGACCGACTCAGCTCTGGACGTGGCAGCGCCGGCGAGCGCCCCATTCCAGAGGGAGCACCATTCCAGAGGGAGCACCATTCCAGAGGGAGCACCATTCCATCGCCTGCCCGATCGGGATGGGGCGGCTGCAGTGCCGGCTTTAGCCGGCAGAGGTCAGCGTGCCAGCGAGGCCCGCCGAGCAGGGCCGCGACCCGATCCCCGGGGCACGCTCACCTCTGGCAGGCTGGCTGGTTGCCCCCAGGATGCACAGCAGGCACATGAGATGTAGACAGCGGCAGCCGCTGGGCATGGTCAGTTCCGGCCCCAGGAGGGACCGACGGATGAAGGCCAGACGTAGAGACACCTGTGGGATGGCACTGGCTGTGAAGCGGCTGGACACGGAGATAGCGGCGCTGACGCTGGTTCCAAGTGACAGGAGCCGGAGAGGGAGAGCGACTAAAACCCGGGCTAGGGAGCCGAAGGGCGGGGGCGAGGAAGGCAGGAAGAGGAGAAGGGACTGGAGACAGGAGCCCACTGGTGGGAAAGAGGCCAAAGGATGGGCAGCGGCGAGCGTGGCCACGGCGCGCGGGGGGGAATGGCCAGAGCTGCGATCGCGGTCCAGGTGGAGGGGTCTGCAGAGATGGGGACAGCGGTGAGAGGCGAACGCGACGGGACCCGAGGGCCGGGACAAGGAGGGACGGCTCCCAGTTCTCGGCTGCAAGCAGTCTCCCCCTGGGTCCTCTACCACCCCCCCACCCCCCCCCCCGCCC